TGTGTGTGTGTGTGTGTGTGTGTGTGTGTGTGTGGATCACAATCTGAGAGTTAGAGCCGAGTGAAGAAGAGAATGAAGATAAAGTATAATAGGTCTAGGGCCTTTGTATGGAGAATCGAGGGAAATGTCTATTTATTCATATTTTTGCACTGTACTTATAGAGACATTTTGTACAATTATAGAAAGGAGGAAATGGTTATGAAAAGTTACTATTTCATTAAGGCTCTAATTGACTGTAAAGATTTTTTATCTATTTTTATTGCAATTTGAATTTCAACATTGACAGTAATTGGATGGTTGATTGGCTTGAAGTCGATCACAATCCGAGAGTTAGAGCCGAGTGAAGGAGAATGAAGATATAGTATAATAGGTCTAGGGCCTTTGTAGGGAGAATAAGGGAAAATGTCTATTTATCGTATTTTTGCACTGTACTTATAGAAACATATTTTGTACAATTACAGAAAGAAGGAAATTGTTATGAAAAGTTATTATTTCATTAAGGCTCCAATTGACTGTAAAGATTTTATTATCTATTTGTATTGCAATTTGAATTTCAACATTGACAGTAATTGGCTGGTTGATTGGCTTGAAGTCAACTGACTAAGGCGATCGGCTGAGTGACATCTGTGCCCTCTAAAGTATGCATTGGTTGGCTAAGTTGTTCAATCTTATGGCGATCTTACTCGATGTCTTTTTGCACGGTCGACCAGAGCAGTTAGTTATGAGGTAGTCATTTAGTCCGGACGTAGGGTTGATCGATCGAATATGAACGACTGACTTTTTTTGAAGAAAGTCTTCATGAGGGGGAAGTTGGTAGCTTTTTATTCTCAAATAATAAATTTGATCTTTGTACTCACAACTATCCTAAACTATCAATGTTTTAATTTTTTAGCCTCTTATTATCATGAAATCATCAATTTTCTCACTGAACAAACCACTAAGTGGAAAGTCTAAAATGAGAAATTTGTGAATTTCTTTAGTATTGTATTAAATAAGGAGTCGAAAGCATGACACCACTTCATTGTTGTGAGGCTGATGCCCACCACAAGCCTAAATAATGTCACCAAAGATAAGGTAGTTGTAAATTACTATATTCAGAGGGAGATGACCATGCAAGTGGGGAAAATTATCTATTTTCGCCTTCATCCCGTTATTGGAGGGCATAACATTTTAGAAATGAGACACCTTAGTCTTATTACTACCTTGTTTGCTAAGGCGGGGGTAGTTGGGGATGGGGGGAGGAGTTCATAAACCTAGTGAAACTCATTACTAAAGTCGTGGTTTTTCCTACACGAAAGCGTTCACATTCAAGAGAGGATAAGGCCTTCCTCCGCTCGACTTGATCCCCCGCCGTCCGTGCCTGTTATTTTTGAACACCTCGACACCCTAATGGATGACTCATCCATCATGTAGTGGGAACTGCATGACATACAAAAGTGGTTCCATTTTTTTGTCATCTCAGCATAGTTAGTTTAGCTACATCCACCGACATTTTGTGACCCAAGAGGAGCTGATTTGGTAGGAACGAAGGAACCTTGTCCTAAATCTGATACAATTCTCTAATGTGATGCCATTTGAGTTGGTTGATGATGCATTTGAGTCGATGGAGGAAGATGAGGACGACAATGATGGAGATAAAATGTAAGTGGGAGGGCCTTTGTTTGTGAGTTGTGTTTGTTTTATTTTCTTATCTTTCTTGGACTATGATTCTATGTATTGGTTGTGGATTGTTCTGACTTTGGTTTTCTCGATGATGCTTTTTTATGTTGTGTGGAGATTTGTTTGTACTTTGATTCTGTGTATGTGGATTTGATGTTATGGTGCAAAGTAGATTGATGTTTATTATGTGCATATTTGGCACTTTGTGACATTCCTATATTGTGCTTGTTTTCTTCCAATGATGTGTTGAGTTGTGATATGCTTCACATGTGATGTTGTACTAGCACCATGGATCTTATCTTTGATGTGATGTTAAATTCCATGTTATTACATGCTATACTTATTTTTCTTTCTTGCACTCTTTCATGTGGCATGCATAGGATAGAAAAAAATTGAGGGGAGTAGTGATAACGAAGTACTTGCCTAAAAGTAATTTATATATTTGAGCTATAAAATTGACTTTAGAGTGGTGACTCATAGTAGGAACCCTGGTAATTTGATTAGATTGTATAATAATTTTATGAGAAATGTGAAGGAGAGGATTTGAATGGATTTTATAATAATTTTGCCCTTCATTTTAATCAATTACCTCTACTGAAATCCAAAAAGTCTAAGAACAATTAAAAAGCTATAATTTAAAATACAAGTAATTAATTAGAGATAACTAAGCCTCTAAATCTTCAATTCAAATAATCTACTTGAACCTTAATTTTTTTGAATGTATTATAAGATTTTGAGTCATATGAGAATTATCATTTATGGGAGATTAGACATTCAAAAATTTTAAAATACATGATCAAGGAGATATAATAATTTTCAATGGAAATCAAACCATTTTTAGGCTAGAGAAAAAAAAAAGTAAAAGGAAAAGTAAATTTTTATTAGGCTCCGATCCAACAAAAAGAAAAGAAAAAAAATTGTACATGGGACTAATCTTTTTGAGAAGAAACTCGAGGTTAAGTATGAACATAAAAATTAGTGTCCAAGTCATTTATTAATTAATAAAATTTCAAAAACTTTCTTAATTGAATTTTTAAATGTTATATTCAGGAAAAAGTTAAGTGATTTTGGGTTGATTGGCTAATAATAATTAATGAACTTAAGAATAATTATGTGTAATGAAATTATTTTAGTTATACTGGATGAAAGTGCTTTTAGATTTGCTCAAGCTCAGAAAGAATTGAATTTAAGAAAGGCTAGATTATTAGAAATTAATAGGAATTCAAACTTTAAATGATATTTACAGATTATTTATTATGAATTATATAGTCTTGTTAGAAAACCAGAAAATTTCACATGAGAAGTTGCAAAATCATTTTCCTGAGTCTAGGTTTAGCTATGAGATTATTTGAGGGCAAATAATAAGTAAGTTTGGAGGAATCAACTATGTCAATCGATGCTCCCAGATCAACAAGAGCTCTGGATAATCAAACCCGTTCCACATTTAGAGAAATGAAAAGTGATCGATTATAATCAAATATCTCTAATAGGAAGTCATCATTGATGAAGTTTAATATAGTAACTTCATTGAAGAAGTTTTCTTCTCCATTTAGGGAACAAGTGCCATTTGGACCATACAAAATTCAGGATTTAGTTAGGCTTTAATTAATGATTCTTTATCTCTTTGGATAGGAAGATAGCATCGGAGATATTTAGCTGACAATTCTTAAATGGGACAACACATTATGATCAATTTTGGGCTGAGCCTCCATAAGCGTATCCTGGGTAGGGACATCCTATGGAGGTGCTATTAGTTGATTAGGTCTAATGATTAGTGTAGTTTTCTTAATAAGTATTTTGTGAGGTGGAAGTACTTTGCCATTTCAGGCATTGATCTTTAAAATATCTTTTGTAGGAGTTGTCATGACATCTACTAACCGATCTATGACTTCTTAGACTTCTTCTTGAGATTCTTCGGAGTAGAATGATTCTACCCCAATCTTGATAAACATATCTTAAAAATTAAGAATAGGGGCATCACTATTCAAAATGGAATCTTTATCTTGATAAACATCTTTAGTGGATTCACTTTTAATTTGAGAATAATTTTTATTGTGATTATTAAGTTTATTGCTGTTATTTAGATTACCACTTATGTTAGTCTGAATTAAATTCATTATATCTAATTTCAAAGCCATTTTAAGAAATTTTTGGAGTTCGTGAGCGGGTGGTATTTATGTATCACACGGTACAACGGTACATGACACATGACGAGAGAGAGAGAGAGAATGGGTTCTTCACCGTCACCCAGCGACTTCGAACGTCTCGAGAAGGACGATGGTCCGGTGATCAACTGCGGCGAGTTAATGGCACTCTTCGAGAGCCAGGAGCGCCATCTACATGATTTCTTCCACAACCTCGACCTCGAACAAACCCAAACGTTCGCCCAAGCTCTTCTAGAGGCGCCCGGTGCAGTCTTTTTCTCCGGCGTCGGCAATTCTGGCCTCGTCGCACTCACGCTTTCTCAAACCCTAGCTTCCCTTGGCTTCACCAGATCCGCCTACCTGTCACCCGTTGATGCTCTCCACGGCAACATCGGTTCCCTTTTCCCCTCTGATATCCTTGTCCTCATTTCTAAGACTGGATCTTCCGAGGAACTCCTCAATCTGGTCCCCTGCGCGAGGGCCAAAGGTGCCCGGCTGATCTCTATCACATCTGTCAAGGGCAACCCCCTCGCCTCGCGCTGCGATATGAATGTTCATCTCCCTCTCGAAGGGGGGGTTTGCCCCTTTGGCCTCGCGCCCTTCACCTCCTCCACCATACAGATTGTGTTTGGGCACACGGTGATGGCTGCGCTTATGAGAGCTGGGAAGCTTACAAAGGAGAACTATGCTCGTAACCATCCTGCGGGAAAGATCGGCAAGAGCCTTATCTTTAAGGTATTCAGAAGAATGTAGGCAGTTCTTTTGGACTCTTTTTGTTTAGTTGCTTGATTCAGCCCTTGGAAACTTGTTGTTCGCTTCGGTTTTTATTTCTTTTCTTTTATTTCCTTCATTATTTTATCGGCTTTTATTCTGTTCTGCTTTGACCATATCCTGCTCTGGCGTTGAAAATAATTTAGGTTATAATTTGCTTAATTTTGAGTTAAATAAGTGGATATATTTTTATGATCGAAACCAGGCTGATCTTTGATTATTCTGTAGATTCTGTTGAGAATTTGCATTTGATTTTTATATGTATTAACTTGTCTGTGAGAATAGTGAGTGTTAAGATGAATGAACCTAATTGTGGATTTTCTTTCGATATTCATATCATAAAACCAACAAATAAGGATAAGGCTAATGTTGATGGAAGTTTCAATCTTCTACCAAAGATTATTGGATCTCACATGAAGATTTGCTAAGGACAACTCATATCTATTTGAAGAGATTTCGATTCTGGCTCTCTGGAGGTGATTCTAGTCCATCTCATATACCCAGATCAAGTCTAGACTCAAATCCAAATTGATTTGAGATTATACTCTCATGAAATTGAAATTATGTTTATTTGTTAGTATTTTTTTTTTAAATTTGATATGAATTATTCATTTGGATAACTTTAAATTTGAATATGATGATAAGATTTAAATTGAATTTCAATATAATCGTATGATTAGTTTTGATTTTAATTGGAAAACCTTATATCTATGAATATGATTAGGAAGGAATAATCTTTATATTATCTATGAATTGCATTTTCAAATCAACATTTCTGAGCCCCATCTCCCTTATTTCCCAAGAATGTCAGTTTTTCTCTCTCAATCTCTCGGTTAATATCTCTTGTTTAGCATGTTTACTAAGCCATCTTTCTCTTTCTCCAATCAGGGCTTAAATTAATTCCACAAGCATTCCAAGAAAACTAGGGAAGAAATCAAAGTATTGGAGATAATTATTAAGTGTTACTATAAAATTGGCATTCAATTTAATTCTTCTACCAGTTTCTCTTTCCAAATTGTAGAGTATCCTTCAAATTCTATTTAAGGCAATCTCTAATATGTTTTCTTGGGTTTTACGTTATTCTTTGAATGATCTTTACCCTACCTTATCACAAGATTGGTTTTTCTAGCTAAATCTCAAAATAGTACTCCAACTATTCTTATGTGGTCAATTTAGTCCCTTCGTTTTGCAGTGCTCTAGTTTAATCCCCTGGACTATTGAAAATTGATGCCAATTGGCCCCTCAAAGTCTAAATTTAGAGCAATTCTGTATAGTCAAAAGACTAAATTGAAATTATTTTTGTGTCATGAGGAATCATTTCTAATTCAATTTTTATTGGTGTGAAATAAATGATGTTTTGCTGTTTAATTTTCTCCTTTATGCGAACTAAAACTAAGGTTGATGAGGATTTGATATTAATGTTCTTAAGACAATCCTTCTCACTATCCTCACTTATTTTCTTATGTAAATGCATTTAATTTTAGTTGTTAATATTAAGTATTATCATTCGCTAAAATATTGCAGCATTATAGAGAAAGAGATATTTAACATTTTAGATTTGCATAAAAAATTTGCACGTAAATTGTTAAAATAGAGACTAAATTTTTTACGTGAAAATATTAAAAAAAAAAATACAAGGCCTGACTTTGGAATAATTCAAGTTTTACTTGATATTTTAAAAATCTACTTTTTTTTATATTGGAGATGACAGTATTACAAAATTGAGAGCACTTACTTGGTCACTTGTGATGGTGATAAACGATGTTGTGGAGGGTAATAGTGATAGTTGGGTGTTAAGAATTAGATAAAAATGTTCGGTGATAGTTGAGATACAATTGCTAAGTGATAGTGGTCATGTGACGACGGACATGCGATAATGATTGAGTAATGAAATTCATATAATGACAATTAGATAATAATAGTTGGGTGATTGTGATCAGATTATGGTGTTTTCTATTGGTGGCCATCATCGTTGATAGTTAGATAGAGTGCTAGAGTTTTACAAATCTCCAAGTTCTATTTAATCTTCAATTTAACTCCATTTCATAATGGAGAATTGTAGGCTTTTATAATTTTTGAAAATGACATTTGGATGTTTTTGGCCTAAATTCCAGCACACTTAATCGAACGTCTATGTTGTTTTTTTTTCATTTGACTTTTCATTCACTGTATGCTTTTAATTATTTTGAAATTGAATGATCTTAGGCTTATTTAATTCTTCTTATTGGGACACTCAATTTACTAAAAGCATCAATATTTAAATATTTGGTTATCTTTCAATTAATGTCCCAAAGTTTTTAACCATATTTTAAGTGCTTAATCTAGACAATTTGGATTTGGTTATGATCATTTTTGTAGTTATTTTATTCGTTTAATTGAGATGATTAGTTTGACTGTTAAGTTTGTTGAAATCAGTGATCCAATAGTCCCAAATTTAATTGTAAAAATTTTCAATTCAAATACTATATCGTGATTAATGCTAGATCAAGTGGATTTTCTAATGATGTATTTTTTGTTCTGATTTATGGGCATCATATGCTTTAAATCTGAAATAATACCATAAAAAATATAAGTTATGTTGTATCAATTTAATTCATCTAATCATTATTATCTTTTGTGTAGCATACCACATTTTAATAAATTTCTTATGATCTAAATCGGTTACCTCACATCTTTAAATTTTATAAATTTTATTCCCCCAATATTTATAACTCTTCAAAACAAAGGCTAAGTATAACTCTTATCATTGAATTTTATAACTTTATACATTTAATTTTTTTATAACTATTCATATTATATAGTAAGTGTAATGCCATCTTTAAATTTTATAACTCCATTCACGAATATTTTAGTTTTTTTCTTTTTTCAAATAGAATTACTCTCATAGGATTGGGAACTCACTTTTCATAATTTTTTCTTTTGTAGGCTCTAATTCTTTCTCCTAAAATAGGTTTGATGCTGATGTGCAGAAGGGGGAGTTGACTATGAGAGTGAATGATAAGGAGGTTACTTTTAATGTCTTAAAATCTTTGAAATTCCGTTCTTAATCAAATGAGGATTCCTATTTTAGGTTGGAGTTAATCGACCACTTTTGTAGAAGCCAATTTCAGGAGAGTTGTGGAGTTGACCCAGTTGAGCGGAGCTTGCTCGAGGATGATAACGAAGATTCTAATTTTGAATCAACTCTAATGTTAGAAGCAAACCAGCTCTACTGTTAGAATCAAATCTTAAGATGTACAGGGATATGTTCAAGCTTTTGGATACCATTGAACCAGTAGTTCCATTTATTGTTGAGCCACCTATGATTGAACTGAAACTAAAGGTCTTACCTAAACATTTGAAGTATGCTTATTTGAGGGAGTTTTCGACGTTACCTGTGATTATCTCTTTAGAATTTTGTAGTTTACAAGAAGACAAATTGATGAGAGTTATGATGAGTTTTAATAAAGCCTTTAGGTGGACTCTAGCTGAAATTAAGGGGATTAGTCTGTTAAAGTGTATGCATATGATTCTCGTGGTTGAGGATCATAAACCTAGGGCTGACCCACAGAGGAAATTTGACCCTATCATGAAAGAAATAATAAAGAGAGATTTTGAAATTGTTAGATGCAAACATCATCTACTCTATCTCAGACAATGCCTGGGTTATTCTTATCCATTATGTACCTAATTTCTATTTCATTGGACCCTTTATACCCTCGCTTTTTGAAACTCTTCCTGCTCTGAATTTCTTTCTTCCCTAGAAAAGAAAACGTCTCCAGAAAGGAAATTCCCCCTCTACGCCGCCCACCCCCGCGGGGGGAATCGTTGCTGACCCGACAGCCTTCGCACCTTCCTTTCGCGATCAGCCTTCCTCGGCAACCAGCCTGTCGCAAACAGATCGCAGCCTCCGCAAAATAGTTCTCGCGAACAGATCCTTCCTTTGCGAACACTCTGGTCGTGCCGAAGAAGCACTATAGTCTTTCTGTGTTGCGAATTTCTCTTTGTCTTGCCGCAAACCGAAGACCTTAAGAATGAAAAACCGCACATTTTTCTTCCTTTGAACTTCGAACTGTGCCGAATCAGACGTCTAGCCTCCGAATTCCTCAGCCAAAATCTTCTTCATTTCTGTGCCACCGAAATTTTTCTTCTTGCCCTTGAACCAGACTCTGATACCACTTGTTGAGAAATTAGGGCGAAGAAAAACTGAAATCGACACAAATTCGACACAAATCATCGACACAAATCCAAAAGAACACAAAGAGATTTAATGAGGTTCGGCAAAGATGTATGCGTCCTCGGGAGTAGAGGCGGTTTTTTTTCAATATTCAAAAAAGAGTACAAAATACAGAATATAGGATAACACCTAGGTTTACATACATGCCTATTTATAACCCTAGAAAACCCTGGAGTACAATAGCCTATTTATAACCCTAGAAAACCCTGGAGTACAATAGCCTATTTATAACCCTAGAAAACCCTGGAGTACAATAACCTATTTATAACCCTAGAAAACTCTGAAGAACAATATGTAATTACCAAATTACCCCTGTACCTCACCCCAACCCACATAAGGAAACTCTCATGATTTGGACAAAATCTTCCGCTCTGTTCCGCTTCGCTCCAGAATCTATCCATTTATGGTATATGAGCCATATCTAACACAATCCTATAAGTTACCAAACGGCACCTTAAGATGGGTAACTTGAGTTTTTGTCTTCAATGCAGGTGAAGCATTTGATGAAGAAACAGGATGAACTTCCACTTTGCAAAGAAACAGACATGATAATGGATCAACTTACAGAGCTGACTAGTAAAGCATGCGGATGTCTGCTTGTTGTTAATGCTGAAAACCAACTCATTGGGACTTTCACTGATGGCGACTTGCGGCGCACCCTCAAAGCTAGTGGTGAAGGCATATTCAAACTTACCGTTGGTGAAATGTGCAATAGGTATTTGCTTATCCTATTGATTTATATGAACTCTTACATTTTTCAAATGCATTTCTTGCTACCACAGGAAGGCTTAGTGTTTAGTTATATTATATTATTATATTTCTTGAATACCATGACAATAATACGGATTCATAGGAAAATATTTGAGAATATGCTTTTCATTTTCAAAACTTCTGGTGGATGTCAAATCATTTTCTCAATTTATTCTCAATTTACTATCTTGATTGTTAGCATTAGCATTCCCACTCTAAAGCCTCTTCCATTAAAAAGTTGTGATAATTCATCTATTCTATAATTTCACTAGACGTTAGAATTCAATATGGTTGGCTTGTTTCTTGTGAATTTTAACGGTATGATGAAATATGGAAAGAGATTCAGAATTTGTTTATTAGTGTAATTGATCATATGTGTAATTCCAAATCATTTTCTCTGGTATTCTTGAGTGACAAAGTAAAGGCTGTCTTACGGTGGATCCTAAAGTTAACTCTGTGATTTCAACATAAGCCTGTGATATTTATGGATGGAGAAGAAATAGGAAGGGCAAGCAGCAGAAGCAGCATGATTTAGCCAAATTATAATATAATTTTTTTTAAATGTCTTCATATCCTAAATGCAAATTTATTTCCTGCTAAGTTACTCTAGACAAAGTTTATCATCCTAGGCGGTTAAAAACTGTGCTTCCCGAACATTTGTATGTTTTGGAAGGGAATGCAGAGTGTGTAAACTTGCCTGAGTAGGCTTTTTCTATTGGCAGAGCTTAGGTGAATGTGGGGGTGTAAATGAGTGAGCAGAACTTGAGTTAAAATTAAATCAAGCTTAACTCACATGTATAAGGATTGGCTGGAACTCGAGCCTGAACTTAACTTGAGCTCATATTTTGGACTCGAGCTTAGCTCTTTTTGAAAATCATGTGCTTGAATTGTCTCATGTTTTCTGAGCTTCCGCTCGATTCTAACTTTAACTTAAAATTTAAAGGTAAATAGTGAACTATAGATTTGTTGACCCTGCTTTTATTGCGCTCAAGTTTGACTTTTGCACACAAACCTTGTTTAGCTTTGAGTCCTCTAGTTTGATCATCATGGTACTACATTTACCAAATGGTTCAAATTTGGATATATACCAATCAGGTTCGATATGCATGAGTTTCCTCCATTTTTGTTCAGTTGGTTTCAGCACATGATAAGTTAATTGAATATTTACTTGAGTGTGTGACTTTAGCCATGGTCATGAACTCCATTTGTGCTTATCACAGCAATCGAGATCTCCATTCAAACATGCACGCATCTATGCAATCATGACTTTGTTTGATTGTGTTTTTTGTTTGGATCACGAACCTCGTTTGATCATTCTTGTCTGACCACAATCACAATCTACATTGGATTGCTTGCATCTGGCCAAGATCATAATCTCTACTAGATTGTATATGTTGTGTCACGGTTGTGATCTATGTTAGACTATTTAATTGATTGATTTGATTCAATCGATTAGAAGATTAGAAGATCTTAAGACAATCATTTTAAATTTAATATACATCTAAACTTATTGTATTGGGATTTTATTAAATTTTAATTCAGTAGTAATGGGTTTATACTGATTGATTCCAATTTAAAAATATTGAGTTAATAAAAATTTAGATTAGTTCACTGTATTACGATAAAATATGATAAGGGCTGGTGATATTGTAAAGTGATTGGTGGAAAATATTAAAATTTGAAATATAACTTTTATAATAACTGTCCTTAGTTTCTCTCCTTCACAGCCCCTCATCCCTAGACAGCCGTTCATCAATGCACAACAAAATAAAAATAAAAAAAATAAAAAATAAAAAATAAAAAACACTTATGTAGGGAGAAGAGAAAACAAGAAGACCAATCGCTTCCCTGATCTCTCTCTCTCTCTCCCCGTCTGGGAATCCCTCCTCCAAACCACCTGCAACTCAAAAAAGAGAGTGTGCGTGTGTGCGAGCGCGCTGCGAAAAAACCATTCTTCTTCCCAACCTGCATCTTACTTGGCCTACCCAACTCACATCCATGCGGCCCCTCTGCAAAAGCCACTCACATAGCAAGCCGCTGGACACCTCTAATAATCTATATAATTAACCTATCGTCAACTCTTCAAGCGAGACACCCCAAGAAATCTACACCCTATATATTATCAGCCAACGCTACCTAAATGAATGCAAAACTCTATATACTATTAGACGTCATTAGCAAGTTTGATTTCACAAGTTCTTACAAAAAGCATCACTGTATTGCATCAGTTCCAAAATTTGAGCAACATTAACCAAAAGAAAATCGGCAACATAATGAAGGCTGAAAGTAGCACAAAAACTTTATATTAGGACAGCAAGAGGATGGCCTCCTATCAAATTATTTTGGTGAAAAATTCATTATTTTGATATTTGAGGTCAAATATGCAGAAGTTTCACTCATTTCATGTGTAATATTGTAGCAGCAGTAACAAGTTATTTTGGTGAAAAATTCATTATTTTGATATTTGAGGACAAATATGCAGAAGTTCCACTCATTTCATGTGTAATATTGTAGCAGCAGTAACAATACGAGTCACTGTAGCTACAACAAATGCCTCCATCAGATCCATTTGATCTTTAAGTCATGGAAACTGCATTGAAGTAGTCTTGGATACAACATAAGCTAGCACTATATCATTGGGTTTGTATACCTGCCTGAGCTATGAAGGTAGGCTTAATTTCTTCTGTCAACCTTACTGAAGAATTGGGGAGCAGTAAGTTAGAATAGGGCTGGTGGAATGCTTAATGCTAGAAGATGTTTTTTTATTGTAAGATTCCTGAAAAATCTCTAGACAATGTTGATAAATTCTTACTAATAACTAACCTTAGAAGATTTTTAATGTTGAGATGCTGGAGTCACTTCTGCTTGGTCAGGTTATGAGGTAGATTTTATATAAATTCCACTGCATTTAGATAATGAGAACTTTGTCCTCTTTAAAAACTTATGTAACTTTCAAGAGAAAGTGCACATAATATGTTTAGGGATTAAGCTATCAACTACTTAACAGAAATCCTTTAGCATAAAACATTGTCCGGTCTGTTTATTCCTTTTGCATGGAGAGTTTTCAGTGGTGCGATCCCAGTTAATGTGAGGTTGATGTCATTAGGATTTGTTTTTAGCTTACAGATGTTTCTGTAATCCATGCTTCTGCAGAGACTATTGAACACTTATTTTAAATTCAGGCGTTTTTTGGATTTGGAGAAAGTGTGGAGATTTGTTTCAAATCCATTTCTCATATCTAAACAAATATGTCTATATGTACCAAATTTTATATAATTGTATTATTAATATATTCTTTCTCCTGATAAAAGATCATTAAAATATTAAATTATTTAATTATTAACGAGTTAGAACAGAAGAAAATCTCCGGGCCGGTATTTAGTAGAGATGGAGTTCTGAAGCAATCTATACATAAGGAAAAAACACACTTCTCAAATGATGATGATACCAACGGATCTGATCAAATAAAGATGGGCAATCAAAAGTCTTCTCCAGGTGTCTCAAGGGCCGCCACAAGTAGAATTCAAAGGATGATTGCTAGATGCTGAAGAGCAAAAGAAGCGTGATAGGTTGTGAGTGCCTAAGACTGGCTGACCTAGGGTTGATCAAACTCTAAGGCCAAGTGACTAAGACCAATGTATGGATAGTTAACGTACACAACATTTATCAGGTCAGGTGGCAGATCATAAGTTCAGAAGAGTCGGTCACCCAGGGACCATTGCTTGTATCGCACGTTCGACACTCAAACTCGTGATCGGGTGGCTGAAAGTTGAAATCCGATGGTCATAGCATCCAGGATCGAAACCAAGATAAAGGCTTGAGCGTTACTTATAGAAGCGAGCGACTAAACTGAAATTATATAGGGTCCCGCACATGTCTTTTGGCAGGATTCTTTTATTTTAAATGATACGACACGTCTTTTAAGTGTGAGACCAACTACTATAAATAAGAGGTATTGTATAGAAAAATGGAAGATTCACTTCACTGATTCTGATTCTTTTATTAAGGAATCCATATCAATTCACTTTTTTTTTTTTCTCAAGGGACCTTGTTTCTTTTTTTTTTGTGTGTGTGATATTCTTTGGGCGTGGCTCAAGGTCAAATATGGGTGCATCACCCCTGAAAGGTGTGGTGAGCTTGGAGTCATGCCCCAAACAAGTAAAGGAGCTACACAAGCGAAAGAAAGTATTCGTGAGAGCGTAGGTAACATGGATTGCACCAGAGAATATGACCCGAAAGATCCAGGAACTTATGGATCAAATGAGAGAGATTGTCAAGGGGGACACTCTAGCAAGGGACAAAACTAATACTCCAGCCGGTGGTTTCCGTACATTAGAGATCTTGCTTGAATGCAGGAAAGGGCGCCTTCCTCGACGCCAAGTGTGAGCGACGGGATGCATCACCCAAATAGGGTCGAATATGCACCTCGAGATCGAGGCAGAACGACGTGCACGAACACATGACATCCAAAACCTGATAATTTTTTTCTCAAGAAATCGTTGAAGTTGTAGTGCCTGAACGAATCAAGATCCCAACTCTGGAATTGTATTGAAGCAAGACTGACCCGATTGATAACATCGTCTCTTTTTAGTCGACGATGTGCCTGCTTAGGACAAACGATGCACTGAAGTACCGTCTTTTCCTTATGACCCTGAAGGAGTGCGCAGTCCAGTGGATTAGTAACATACCACATGGAGTAATCACTTCATTCGCTAAGTTCAAAAGAATGTTTAGGGCATAATTTGGCAGCAAAAACCCCCAAAATTCTTAGGCTTGTTGTAGTTCCGACAGGATTAGGGCGAATCATTGTGCGAATTCATTACCTAATTCCAGAGAAAAATGTTGTAAGTACGAAATTTGGAGCCCGCAGTCACACATGTGGCCCTCGTCCACGTGCTGATAGAAGGTTTTTGCTTTTTTTTTGTATGCTTTAGGTCTTTAGCGACCCAAAACACTGGCAAGATTCTTCGAGCTTGCTAACGATCACATCTTAATAGAGGAATACAACCTACTCGCGGCCTCTTGGAAATCGGGACAATCACAACCACATCCGCCAAAAGGAGTTCTCTCGATCGCGATTGGAAGCTCAGCCATCCGCCGTGAAAACAAACACGCTTTCGATATGATGATAAATGTTCCTGATCACTTCAAGTGGCTTACGCTCCAAAGAAAGCAACACACCGATATGAAGAAAGGACTCAATATCGAGAGCAACGAGCGTATCACTATGCAGAAAGACCACCACCACTGACTCGGAAACTCTCCCAACCGACTCATCTAAAATCTCAATTGCGGAGGTTGTGAAAGCCGTCCAGAATAAGGACTTCTATCGGGAGGCTGTTCCTATGAAAGATGGGGGCTATGCGTGTGATTCGAAAAATTATTGTGCCTACCATTGGGACAACAAACACAACATCGAAGAATGTTGACACCTTCCGACCCTAATTGAGGAGTTGATTCAAGCCCGAAAGTTGAAGGTGTTCATCATGATCGGGGGAGTCAATCAACATCCAGGAAAGCTCTAGTGGCTGAAGAGCAAGGTGAGCCGGCCTGAGCTCATCCCATCCACATCATAGGGTTTGTTCCTGTCGTTCTGGGAAGAGATGAAATAGAGGCCTCCCAACAAACAAGTTAAAAATCATTTCACTCAGGCAAGCCATACGTGGCCGCCTTATCCTTACAGCCAATCACGTAGCATTCGACCTTCACATTAACCGTCGAATGCCTATCTTCTATCTTACAAAGATGCAATTGACGTTATGACCCTCTTTGAAAATTTTCAAAGACGGAGCGTTCTTGTCGGCACTAACAACTCAATAGACATCATGTTCAAATCGGTATTCATTAAATTGGGCTCCTGAAGACTACCATCCGGGCCATTATACGATTCTCTGGGGAGAATAAGGAAACTTAGGCGTTCCTACCACCACCTATCACCTAGGGAGATGGCGACAAACTATTTAATGTTATGACTGATTTCTTCATGGTAGATTCACCTACGACCTACACTTTACTAAACACTTTTAAGGCCGTAGTCTTAACCTATCATGCAACGATAAAATTTTTGGGTGATGAAGAAATCACATGATACGAGAATTGTTACATCATTTGGAAAGAAAAAATATCATATGAGGATCGGAGATGGCCTCAGTCGAAAGCTAGCCCAGCGAATGAGCCTCCTCAATACAAATTTTGCCCCAAACATGAATTGTCCCATTTGACCCAAATTGGCCGAGCCTGAAGAACCAAAATTTGTTCCATAAGTCCATGAGCTCCTGCTACAAGAGGGCCTCCGACTGTCTCCGCCGCTGAGTCTCATGTTCTAGGCCGATCAACTTAGCCATGCTATGAATCTATGTCGTAGGAAAAGTAGGATCCCCATGCGTGAGGTGGTAGTCATCTGGAATGCCCGTCGCCTCATGGTCTGCCACGAGAGCCGATCATCTTACCCATCCTCCGCCTGGGCGCCTCTGATTGTGATTCTGTCATCCCTAGCTCCTCACCCAGGACTCTTAACGACTCCACTAACCAGCTCTTTGCTCATGAGCAGACCTAGAAGCTCATTCAAGTTCATTGAGGACAGAATGTCTGGTCCATAGCCCGTAAAAATAAAATACGAATGACTATCAACAAGTTATATCAACCACTATGAGTGGTACCCATTGCTTGTAAGAGCTCGAACACATCTGAAAAAGAGCGAACAGATGAATCATCGCTTTAAGCTACTCGAGCCTGGTTGAATACCTTGTTGTGGCATCCCATCAGAAACAAGTACACCTAACAGTCCTCCTGGCTCAAGAGTGACAACCATTAAATCCGACTCAGTGTGGTGCCCTCTACAGTAATAACAGTGGCCAACATCTCTAAAATGTAGGGAGCACCTTCTAGGGCCTCTCAAGGAGATCCCAGACGATCAATCGATGGGTCGGCATTATCAGAGACCCAGACAATGCCGTCGGGGACCGCAGAAGAGGACCCTTTATCGAGTCGGTGGTGGTTCTCTGATGCCCTTTGAGGCTCGCTCGACGGAGCTTACATTTTGTGCTTCATCCTGTTACCTCACGCATCTTACCAAGCAAGTCATGGAGGAGTATTTTGATTGAGACAATAGCTTGGGCTACAATAAACTTCTCCATCAGTCAAAATTTCTCGCAATGAGAATGAAGTCGAGTGAACTAGAGCTTAATGAAGTTCAGTGAAGGTCTTGTCAAACTGTTTAAGGAGCGCGATGCTCATAACTCATGGGAGAACTTAAAGCTTTAAATGTTTACTATTGATCTAAGAAATAACCATTGAATCTATTAATTCTCTCACCTTTATTGCAACGCGATTTTCTAATATTCAAGAAAATTAGAGAACTAAATATGTACATAAGAAAAAGCATGTTTCTCAAATGATGATATGAGACTAATGGACTCGATCAATTAAAGATGGGCAATCAATAGTCTTCTCCAGGCGGCTAAGGGTTGCTGCAAGCAGACTTCAAGGGATGATCCCCAGACACCTAGTGTGATAGATTGCGGGCGCTCGAGGTCGATCGTTCTAGGGTCGAGCGGACTCTAAAGCCAATCAACTACGACCAATGTATGAATGGTTGACATAGACCACATTTATCTGGCCAACCGACATATCACAAGTTCAAAGGAGTTGGTCGCCCCGGGATTGATGCTTGATATCTATCACGTTGTCGACACTCAAACTCATGATCAGGTGGCTCAATGCTAGGAATGAATGGCCCAAACATCCAGGATTGAAATCGGATAAAGGCTGAAGTGGGCATGATACTTCACGAAGGTGTTATCCTTTCAAGCGTTACTAGGATATCTCTTAAATCAATTCATTTTAATCGAATCAAACCAAACTCAAAAATCAATCAAACCAAACTCAATCCAATCCAGTCCTTTTAAACTAAATTTAATTCCAACTCAAAATTCAACCATGGTCCAAGTCCAATTTCAAACTGAACTCAAAGCCCAATCTGATTCAAACCTATTCACAATTCAAATTCAATCCAATCTGAATCCAACTTAGACTCAAATTGTTTTGAAAACCTAATCCTTTGATTCAAGCTCTATCATCACTTCAACTGTCAACTCTTGAGCTCAACCCTAAGGGTAAACCATTTATAAAACTCGAGTGAAGTCAACCTATCAGGTCTTATCCATTTCATCAATGTCTAATTCAATTCTTGTTCATTCGATAAACATACATTAATGAATATGAAAGATATAAGGCATGACTTTAATCGAGAGTTTTCTTAAGAGTAATTTTTGTGATGTAATTAATTATAAGGGAGCCCTCTCATAGAGATACCAGACCCCAGGATTAAAATAAATATTATCTTACACCCATAAGGTAAGGGCAGAATCTCGGTTCCGCAGATCCATAAATCCCAAAGATTTTCGTCAACCGAATGATTAGATTCATTCTAAGGTAATACTTTTATATTTCGAGATAGTATATTATTCTTCGAATATCGTATCCGATTATTTATATAGAAGTCTTTTGAGATTTATGGTAGATCCAATCAATAAAAAAAATCCCATCAAATATCACAATTTTAATTTTTTTAAAAAGTGAAATACACATTTCATGCAAAAGTAAGATGACAAATGAAGGTTTTGTTCCAGATATGTAAACACATAGGAATTGACTGGTATGCTTGTAAATCTACCAAAACATTATAAATAAGGCTAGGAAAAACTCAAGTCAAAAATACAATAACAAGTCTTTCACATTTCTTTGGTTGTGATCTAAAGACAATAAACTTCTAAAAACTCAAACAAAATCTAAAGTCTAAACACAATACACTTCAATGTAATTCAAAATGCCAAAATACAACAAACATTCTCTCATAAGTTATATTTTTAATCAATAAGAAATAAAATGAGTGCATTCTCTCAAGGTAAGGTGGTATTATGCATGTGAAATTTAATCTCAGCTTTGAAATAACTCATTTGATTCGTAATATTTAATTTTAAATTTTGATTGCATTTAGGAATCCAAGAACTATTAGACCAGAAGAAATGGCTGCAGATGCGATGAAGAAAATGGAGTCTCCGCCATCTGCTGTACAGTTCTTGCCTGTTATTGATGATAGACGGATTGTGGTGGGGATCATAACCTTGCATGGACTCGTTTCTGCTGGCCTATAGACAGTTATTCACTCATTTCTTCTGTCTATTCTCTCTCTCTCTCCTTATTTTATTGTAGTATTATCCATGCATGTTTATTAATTGTTAGGCTTCTTAAGCTTTTTCACCTTTTAACTTTTTATTATTTTTTCTTTAATTTGCTCCAGAATTTTGTTGAGGAAATGAATCTTTTGATAATTCTTTGGTACTATTTTTCTAAAACAAATTAAATTATAGTCAAAGGCGAAACCAGGCTTTGTCTGTGGTTGGTGATTACCCTTTCTGAAATTTGAAATTTCTCTATATAAGTAATAAAATTTAATAATTTAGGGTTAAAAGAGCTTGTATGTCGAGTCTACAACAATAGATCAAATTTGTCCCTTGAGTCATTTAGCTAAACCAAATCAGCGCTAGCCTTACTTAACTTCACCCTAAAAGAGAAAAATGGAAGAATAATAATTAGTAGATTGTCTTGGCTTGTTATGTCAGTAATCACCAAACACGAACAGTTCAAAATAGGATAGAGATTGGTTCTCATTTTACTTTAGAAAGATATCTTCCAAATTTTTTACTCATAATGTTACGTATAAGAAAGATAATTTCCAAAGTTTTAAAAAGAATAAAAAACATCTTAATCTATTGATTAAGTGCTTAGTCTTCCAATTAAGAAGTTTTAGATTTAAGTTCTTGTCTATGTAGTATGCACAGATTTACGACTAAATTCAAACAAAAATCCGGGAAAAAAATGTACTACAATACTTTTATTAGAAAATTGCTTTATCCGCAACCATAGGACGGCTACTTCTACCTTAAGTTGCCCCCCAATAGAAGCTAGTTGGTTAGGTCCCTTCATTTTAATACGGTAAACAAGCAAATGTTCTACATATGCTTGAAAGATCGATTAACTTCAATAGAGGCAATACAAATTTTATTTGAAGACCGCCATCGGTCGGTTATTCGGGTACTTCGCCTTCAGATTCAGTTTGATGCAAAACTCGCTTAATCAGAATATTATACAGGTTGAAAATCTTAGCACGAGCACAAGCCGACTTGAGCACGGATAACCCAAACCCAGCACAAGCACAAGCCGACTTGAGCACGGATAACCCAAACCCATCTGTACATTAACCTGCCAATTGTAATTAGGTTGAAATTTATTTTCAATCTTGATCCACATATGACAAATTCTTATTAAGTTCGATCTAATTAACTACCAACAAAAAGGTATCTGATTTAATTTATGCGAGTAGAAAAAGATAAAATAGCTGAATATTGAGTATAAATGCTTAGACTTAGAAGACATTTATGTAATACTAAAAAATAAAAACCATAATTTTTTTTAGTTGTTTAGGGGCTGGTTGGGATCTTTTTTTCTTGTGTTTTTTTTTATATATATTTTTATTTTATTTTCTTCATATATTATTGTGAAATAAAACATACTTGTTATTAGTATTTATTTTTAAATATACTCAAAGTATCTATATGCTGTTTTGAGCGTGTTTAAAAATAAGTTAATTTATTTTTAATATATATATATATATATATAGAGATATATATATTGTGTTGAGTTAGAATATTCTACCGGACTTCAATCAGATTAATGGGCCATATAAGTATTTGATTTTATTTATAATAAATGTAAATATATAATAATCAAATAAAATGCATATCAATTTAATTTTAAATCAAATCCAATATACTACCTCTTCAAATTAATTTTTATTTTTCGACATTGCTCAGAAATTAATTATATTAATGAAAAAAAACTGAAATCTTGATTCCACATATCCCATCTTCATTAAGTTTTGTTTAAATTGCAACGGCTACACTTTGTCTCCTCCAATAAACATTAAAGGCCAAAAGAAAAAAAAAAAGGGGATTCCATTAATTAATTTGAATATCTAATTGACGACTTGCAGCTAGTCGTCAACTAAGATCTGCACTTCATCTCGAATAGTAGACAAACTTTAATTAGTCTATATTTTGATTTTGAGAAATTTACATTAGTACCACACGATTCTGATGTATTTACATATATAACATTTGAAATTTTTGCTCACTTGCGTGCTATAGCGCTGGATTAGGATCTGCATAAGTCGACGCTAAACTTAGGGTCTGTTTGGGGTAGCGGACACTAATTCCAACGTAAAAGTTTTAAAGTACAGCTCGCGTGAACCGCAGTCTCCGGTTCACATTTCTTCTTGCACAAACTCCTCTCCTTCTCGTCTGACTTTCCTTCGTCATGTTCGAGCTTTTCTGGTGATTCTGGCTCTGAGTCACCGCTCCAACCTCGTCCAAGATCAGAAATCTTCTTCCACACATCCAAGCTTTGGTTTAGCATAAGTTTTCATATTTTTTTTTCCTTGCATAGGTGTGAGATCCAAAATACATAGGTTTTGCTCGAGTTTTTTTCATATTACTTTGTTTAAGTATGCAGTGTTTATGCATTTCATGATTTTACATAAGTTTAAAGTGATATGTGCTTAAATATAAGAGTTTAGGTTTGAGATATGTAAATTCATAAGAATGTAATTGTGGATCTGATGAGATGTGTGAATACATTAGATTAGTGCTACGTATGTAAATATGTGTTTTGTATGTAGATATATAAATATGAAAATTTATGTGTGAGATATGTAAATACACAAAAAAATTGTGCTATGCATGGAAATATGAAAATTTTTGTGTGAGATATGTAAATGCATAAGAATACATAAGAAATTTGTGCTATCCATGTAAATATGAAAATATAGGTATGAGATATGTAAATACAAAAGATTAGTGCTTTGTATGTAATTGTGTGTTTTGTATGTAAATATGTAAATATGAAAATTTAGGTGAGAGATATGTAAATACATAAGAATTTGTGCTATGTAAGTAGAGGGTGGAGTTAGGCTAGTGTTGATTTTTGTTTGGTTAAAAAATAATTGTGTGATAATTTAATAGGTTAGTCGATTAATGGGTTAGTTTGGGTGTTAATATCTTAATTGATTGATTCTCTAGATTTGTGAGCTTTGGGTTTCGGGTATGATGTGTAGGTAGCCTATGGTTTCTGGCAGGATGTGTAGATTATAGTCTAAAGTTTCATGTAGGTGTGAAATCTGGCTGGGATTAAAATAAAAAATATGGCACTTAGTAGGACACAATGACTAAGCTATAGAGCTACATCTATGATACAAATAAATATCTGAAGCATTAGAAATTGGAGGTATAAAAGATTATAGCTAGGAAGAAAAGGATTAACTGATGAGTTTTTAGTTGTATGTGTCATTGCAACTGTCCATTTACCTTTCAGAAGGTACGTTTTGATGCCCTTGTGCGAAGCTTAAGAATAAAGCATACCTAACACCTGAAGAAGTGAAGTTGGACCTATACCGTAAGAGATTTAAAAACAATTATTGGTATTGTATTTCACATGATAAATTTGAACCAGATGTTTAGTACAGTCATACTGGAGTCTCATCAAGTTATGCTCCTCCAATTGTTCACAATTTGACATGTATGAGAAAATGATTTATTATGCAATCAGAGCTTATTTTGTTGGGAGTTTGTCTAATGATGATCATGAACTAAATAGTGAAGCACAACATTTCTATGAATTATTAAATATTGCACAACATCCACTGTGAGAATGATGCACTTCACACACAGAGACAACTGTCGACCTGAGAATGCTGAGTATCAAAGTTGATTTAAACATGCCTAAAGAATGTTTTAATCAGGTATCAATATTATTAAATGAGATGAACCCCGTAGATAATTTAGTTCTAGAGGATTTGTGCATAACTAAAAAATTAGTGGCAAAGTTGGGGCTACTATCTGAAAAGATAGATTGTTGTGTCAACGAATGTATGTTATATTACAGAGAAGATGCACACATGACGAAATGTAAATTTTGTAGTGTTGATAGGTTCAAACCAAATGGGAGAAAGATTAAAAGTTAAAAGAATATTCCTTAACATCTATTTTATTTTCCTCTCATTCCACGACCCCAACGATTGTTTGCTTCTATGTGCACGACTCCTTTGTTTGCTTCTATGTACATGACATAATATTGAATCTGTTAATGCTAATAAAATGACTCATCCCTTAGCTGATGAAGCTTGAAAAAACTTTAGATTTTGCAGCAGAACCACACAACATTAAGCTTAACTTATCTGTAGATTGGTTCACGCAATACAGTCATGCTGCAACACCTTATTCATATTGGTCAGTTATTATCACGTCACATAATTTGCCCCCTGATATAGGTTTGACTGTGTCGTTCTTATTTCTAACGTTGATCATACCAAATCCACATAGTCCAAATGGTAAAATTGATGTGTATGTACAACAACTTATAGGAGAGCTATACATATTGTAGGAAACAAGCATGTTGACATAAGATGATGCAACGAAACAAAACTTTCACCTTAGAGCTAATCTTATATAGACGTTCGGTGATTTTATGGGATGCTATCTGGTTGGAGCATGACCAGGAATTTGGTATATCCCTACTGCATGGACATGTTTAAAACATTCACTTTGAAGAATGGAAGAAAAAAATCATGTCTTGATTGTCATCAAAAGTTCTTAGCACGTGATCACTCTTTGTAGAGGAATAAAGATGTATTTTTTTATAAATAGACTTAAGAGATCAAAGTCCACCCCAAGGGGATTAGTGGAAGTGATATATTACAGATGATCAGTGAAATACCAAAGATCACTGAAAGACCACTTAACCTTGAATCGTCTTCCAGATTATGGTGTTACATATGATTAGATGAACCAGAGTATTTTTTGGGATATTCCATACTATAAAACCAATATTATTGAGCAAAATCTGGATGTTATGCATACTGAGAAGAATTTTTTTCATAATATATTTAATACTTTTTTTGGATATTAAAGGAAAAATAAAGGATAATGTCAAAACAAAATTGGGCTTGAATGAGTATTGCAAGAGGAGGGGGTTGGAACTGCAAGGGACAAATGTCAATAAAGTAATAAAACCCAAAGCTACATATTGTCTCACATCGGTTAAACGAAAAATAATCTTTGAGTAGTTGAATTCTTTGAAGTTTCCAAGTTTTGCCTCTAACATAAGCCGATGTGTTGATTTGGGGATGGGAAAATTAATTGGTATGAAGAGTCAT